CAGCTGTATGCTTTTGACTGAAAAGCAGACAATATTGCTCATAGGGGAAAGCTCAGAGGTCAAGCTACAAGTCATGTGCTGTTCTCTAAGATTAATTATCTATTTAAGGTTTCAGCATTTTCAGGATTTATGACAAGAGCTACTTGACTTTGCTTTCCTTTTACAGATTTATCTTCAGAAATTAGTATAGATTTTTTTAGAAGTTTCTTTATCACGTGATTCAAAAAGCTAACAAAACAGATGGCAAGGCTCTGCACAAGCAGTTGCTGGAACAACCTTTTGGAAATCCCTTTAAATTATTAGTAGTGGCCTCTAATGAGATCATTTGATTTTTCAGCTTTAGGGAGCGGAAAATACTCAACTTAATTCGGGCAACATTGTTGTTGTAAAAACTATACCAATATGCTTGTGAATATGAAAACATACAATTCCCTTTGGCATGCTTGAAAATGTTTGTGAATTAATTTATTTTTCAGATGTATTTGTGTTCCTACAAATTTCAGGTGTATTCGTTTGCATAGTCTGCTAACATCGCCAGATGAGTTGTCTCACCTAGTAAGTTAGGACAATGAGAGGTTAAATTTTTATGCTTCCTGTAGTCTCTTAAATAACTTATTTCACTTTTCTAGCAATAGCTGAGACCTCCTGGATGGATTTGATGGAAAATGCAAATGTACTGTTAGTCTGTGTGTTGTCCCTGACGCCCAAGTTGTCCATCTTAATGAATTGATTTCTGAGTGGAATGGGACACAGACAAAGATTTGAGTTTTGAGTGTCATTCGAGCAACATTTGCTCATTCGTAATCATAATCTGGCACTAGTAGGGCATCTATGGGATGGAAAGTATAATGACTGCATACTGAGGCATATGAGATTGTTAGGAAATTCAAAATGAAAAGGGCTACAGAAAGATTATTATTGGTTTTGTGTAATTTTAAGAAGAGAGCGTGCTGGCAGTGGTACTGCGGGTCACATGTCTCCTTTTGAGCGTTTTTTCATTCTGCAAAGCCACTCGGCTGGATAGTTGAGACACTTGAGGAATGCTCTACTCTGCTGCCACTGCCTCTGTTTTTGCCTCTGCTACAGCAGCGGCACATCCCTTCTTGCTTGTTTGGAGCTGGATTGGCTCATGCGAAAGTAAAAAGAAATTACTAAGCGAAGTGGTCTTTTCTGTTTCCTTAGATGAAAGTTTGAGCCGTGTTTTAAAAAAGAACAGGGAGGGTTAAGCACTTCCTCTGGTGAAATACCAGGCGCGGTGTTCTGGGGAGCAGCAGAGTGGTGCTTCAGGGAAAGCACTTGGCTCTGTTTGACAGCTAGTTAATAGAGACCCAACAATAAACAGCTGCCTGTGATGTAATGTGGAACTTCTTCCACAGAGCCTGTATTTACAAGTACCAGGGAGTTGTACAGCACCAGCGAGCCGAGTGAAAGCAAAAGAAACCTGTGTTGCTTCCCCAGCTATTGGGACTTTTAATCTCTTATGAAGCAACGTCAGCTACATGCCATTCAACAGCCCTGAACACTACCAAGTGATACTGGTTCCGCCCACTGCAAAACAGGAGTTTGAAAAACCCAGTGCTGGCATTAAACCTGTTGCAGTCTAATTAAAAAAAGGTAAGTTTTTTCTTTTTTTTTAATGAGATAATGGTTAATGGCAAAAATTAAATGACCTACGCAAATCAGCCTGAAAGTTACCTTTTTGAAAAAGTCCTCTTTGATATGTGTGGATACAGTAGTTTGGACAACATGTTTGAGAAAACTTTACAATTGTTTCCGCGTGGCTACCATTATTTTGTTCTTGTTATTATTTTAGGTCTTGTTTTTGTTCAGTAAGAGTTCAGTAAGAGTTTTCCTGAAGAAAAATAATTCGAATGACCTTGATTTGTATGAATCCAGGTGCAATAGCACATAAATGCCTGGCAGGTCTTCGAACCTGCGCTTTTTCTAGACACAGTTGTGTCTGTGGCTGAAGCTCCTGTTCTAAAATAATGGGTTTGATAATGTCCTAAATTTCCATTTCTTCATATAGGTACTTATCTGACATTTCTAAAACAAAAGGCATTCCAAGAAACACAAGTAAAAGTGATATTTCTGTACGCCTTTCTATGCAGGAAACCAATTTAATTTGCCTCAGGATGTAGCATGACTTCCTAGACTGTTGTGTTTGGGGTGTGATCCTCATAGGAAATAAGCTTTTCCTTTATTAGATGATGGCATCAGTACACTGCTGTTCACATTCTTTCTGAAGCACCACGATGAGCAGCTCCTGCAGACTTTATGTCTGCGTTGTTGACATGCTGCATGCGGCAATAAATACTGCTGCTGCTTCCGAAGTTGCACTGTAAAGTAAATGCTTCCAGTATGCTCTGGCAAAACAACAATAAGTAGCTCTGGTACTCAATGATCTCACCACTGTCACATTCACTGATATTGTTTGAGAGGATCATTAGAGATGAGTGACAGGAAATAGCAGAACTTGGTGCTCAAGTAGTTGACTAGACTCAATATAGTCATTGCAGGTACTGTCCCATTTAAAATTTAAAAAATGCTACAGTTCAAAGGGGTATAAACAAATCTTTCCTAAAACAAATAAATTATGCAGATGTTAGAAACATCTCTCTTCAGAGACTTCTTTACTCTTAAGGTAGTCCTAGTGTTAACTCAAGCACAAAGATATCTTCCCAAAATAAACTAATTAATATGTGGTATGAACGCGATTATAGGTACAGTGTTAATAATTATATGGCATGGGAAAGTATTGAAGGGGTGTGTCTGTTTCTGGAACCTGATGATCTGACTGAATGCTGTACTGACGGTATGCCAGTATTCTGTTTACTATTCTGCATGTATGAAAGTAGGTCCCGGCAACAGATTAAAAAAAAAAAACATATTCAGAGCGGCTCTACAATCAGTGCCATTTTTCTACAGCTGTACTTGCATGTCTCTATTCCTGCGTGGCTGGAAAACGTTTGGAATCCTGAATTAAGGAATTAATTACCTTGGTATTATATTTCTCGTAAGAGGATTTCACCATAACAGTGAGTTCTATACAGTTTTCAGTAGCAGGGGCCTGTGTGGGACGTGAGAGATCAGAGTTTCGAACAGGCTGGTAGGTAAACGCTCATATACGGTCCAGTGGAAAAAGGCAATTAATGGTCGGAATGGATGAGAGTCTGAATCAGGATGGTGATTGTGAACATTTTGAAAAGACTGGTTTCTTACGCATCTCTCGCCCAGAAGACAAGATTGGTCAGCGTGGCCCGTTTTTAACGTATTTATCAAAGACCTGCTGTCTCTTCTTGCAGCAGGCTTTTCTTTTTATTAAATAAGTGTAAATGCCAAAAGGCAGAGGGATCCCCTAAGAAACAATTAGCTTTGCTGATCTTTTTTGACAGCAGGTGGACCTGCTGCATTAATGCCCCTTTCAGGAGGCAGATATTTATTAGCATTTAATATTAACACTATTTTGAAAGTCCCTACACCCTTCTGGATTTTATAACAAATAGTCAATGAACCAATCGCTTATTATTATTGTTGTTATTGCTATTATTATAAAGGTTTTATCGTCTCAGCTTTTCTGCTGGTTGCTACTGACCAGGGATCCACTGGATTCCTTATGCCCTGCTATTGTCCGATGGTCATTATTATTATTATTATAATTATTATTGTTGTTGTTGTTGTTGTTGTTTTAGCTTGGCAGTCCCTTGAAGAAACAAGTCATTTTTTACTCACATTCAGTGTGATATCTCTTGAAACCTGTCCTGTTAACCACAGCTGGTCCTATGGTACTTTCACAATGTGCACATACAGTAGATGGTTACTCTGTAGTGATCAGTGCCTTAGACAGAGTTTCTGTGGGTGTTGTGAATCAAGGATGTTCTGCTCCATCTGAGTGCTTCCATACTAGGTTTTTAGCTTAGGGAATGTCTTCGGAGTAAAAAGGCAAATAAGCAAACAAACTGACAAAGCAAAGTCAAAATTCTACTTTTTTGAGTCATGTTTTTCAAGCCTGAAATATACATTTCTCCTGCATGTGCGGTAACCTGTGCAGAGAAGACATGACAAGAGATTCCTACCTCAGCAGTGCTCCCTAATATTTCATTTATATGCACTATGATTTAGGTTTATAGCCCTGGGCAGCCAAAAGCTTATTAATTGCTTACTCAATTAATCAAATATATTTAAAAAAAGTTTTTTAAATCTCAGATTTCAAGGTTTTGAGATCAATGCAAAAGAATTCCTGGTGTACCCTGACTGGTTTTAATTAAAACAATATATAGTACGTTTATATGGCTAGGAATTTTAACTTTGGACAAAGGAACAACCGTAGTGCTTCAGTTGGGATTTGAACCCTTAACCCACAACAGTGAGGAGCCTGGAACCCTAACTACTGCTGCACACTGCTTTCTGTGTGACCACGGGCCAGTCTTGTCTCTCATACACCAATCGCCAATCAGGAATGCAAACCTCATACTTGTAGGGGGGGTTCAAGCCAGGTAAAAGCCACCACCAATGACTTGGTGTCTAATGTGCAAGAGTTTAGTGTCACTGTGTGTTGAGAAAGGAAAGCCAGAAGAGACCAGAGGAATTTAATTTTCTTTTTAACAGATGAGCCTGTATGAATGTAGTGATGTAGTGTGGAATGTAACAATTAACTGCAACTTTATTATCCAATTGAAACTGAAATGTCCTAGCACACATGCAACACATTTCCAATACAGAGCGCAACCATAATAAGTATTAAAAAAATGAGATTAGAATAATAATATACCACAACAGCTCTTTCCTTCTGAACACCGCTCTGAAGCAATGAATTGAAAAAAATACTGTAACAAAGTAATTAGCGTAAATCTTCCTTAGGTCTATAGTGTTTTAGTAATAGACCTTGACCTAGAGTTTTCCATATTTGATCAGGGTTTCATTCATTAACAGGCTGACAATGCAGCTTTTAATGTTTGAACAGTGTTCATTCAGAAATAATGTTCTGTTTGTTTTTCCAGGCCTTGCTGGCTGTGTGGTGTATGTACTGTATACGGCACTTTACAGCAGTGTCAAAGGTGAGTCAGCTGCTTCCCACAACCTGCCATTTCAATGTTTGAGCACACCCTTCGCAACACCAAATGACACTTAAATGGCACGTTCTGTGTGCTCCATTGTCATAATAAGCCAGTACTATCTTCAGTACTGATATCGCTCCCTGCAGCTTCATGGTCACAGATAAGGCTCTTTTTTTCCGAGGGGAGGAGTGAGCGAGCTGGGGGCGTGGGGGTTCAGCTTTCGTAATACCAAATTGAAAATCTGCTTTATTAGAATAGGGAACTTCAAGGAACAATGAACCTTCGCCTTGGCATTCTTCTATCTTACAGCACAATGGAGAAGAAAGCAGGCGGGACAGCTGGGCGTGAAGCTCCTGTCCGTCTATGCTATTTATTTTGGGAATTGTGTGCTAAGGATAGGGATATTTATGTGGGGAGATTATTTTTGTGGTGGTGTAAAAAATAACACAAGGACCAGGACCCCCCTGTGAGTCACTATTGACCCAGGGTCTCATTCAGAGCTCACATTGCCTTGACAGGAATGTATTAACCCTGTCAGCCAAGGGGATCATTTTCTTGAACACTGCAATATTGCTGTCATTTCCGTGCACCTGGTGCAACTCAGCAACTTTTCTCTCCACATCTCTCACAACTGCTAAACCTTCTGATTTTGTGTATGCCAGATGCTGTTTGGGTTTGCTTTTTTTTTAATTTGACTATTACTTTCCTTTCTGTTCTTCACTTTGAAGAAAAGGGGAGGAAAACAAAAAACAAACACGAGTTAACATAAATGAACTCGAAACATCTAAAAACATTAGAATACTTTTAGCTATTTCGGAAAGAGAGACAAAATCTTGTATACAAGTCACAGTGTGTTAGTGTTCAAGCTCTAAGAAGATAAGACTGCGGTGTTTTCAGTGAAGAGCTAGGCTATACATCTCTTCCAAATTTAGACATAGGTACATCTATTTCTCATGGGCAGATAATTATGCTTTCTGGAGTAGATTTTGGTGTATTTTTTTAATCCTGCATTCAATCTCTTGAATTCACTTTTTGTTTGTAAAATTAGTTATTTAAGTGTAATTATGTGTCAGGGTTTCATATTCTTAAAAAACATTCTTAGGAATGTGCATTACAATTACACTGATCTCAAATAACACAGCAAAGGTATTTCTAATGAGACATTTTTAATACTTTGTGGAAACAAGCCTATTTATTTTAAAGAGCTCATTGTAAGAGATTTGAATATATTTATAAGCAGTAAATGTGTATTCTGTAAGACTGAAAGGGCATGAATATAAATGCGGATGCAATATTATATCAGCATCTCTTTTTACATATAAATTATAAAATATTCCAAGTCCACCTAAGGATTATTCTTGGAATAATAGCTTATTCTGTCATGTGGGTGATTATTTTGTGTTTAAAATTAAGAAATATGCAAAGTTTTCTAAACACACGTGTAAAGTACTGCAGTATTGTATTTCACCAGTTGAGGGCTCCAGGGGGTTTGTGCATTCAAAATGCTTTCAAGCAAATTGGAGGAAGAGAGTTTTCATGTTTTTCTGCCCCACAGTATCCTGCGCTCATGTTTTTTTTTCTTTAAATATATTATAATGGCTACATCTTCATACTTTTGAATGACCACATTCCATATTCAGAAAGCCCTGTCAATGACTCATTCACTAAACTAGGTCTTTGCTTCAGGGCTGTTAGAGTTGACCCCTTTTTCTGCTGCTCACTGAAGGCACATTGCACACAGGCAGGGTACATTTTATCTAGGGGTTGTGGAGTAAGTGTAGAGAGAGTAGGGGGCTGATTGATTTTAAAACCAATTCCAACCAGTTTGATCTTACCCTGGGGTCCACATTATACATTTAATTTGACTTGATAACTATGATTCACTAGTTAAGCAGCTGAACCTTCAGTTTCAACTATATACATTATTTATGCAGCATTCTGTGTATTTAAACATCAAGAAAATCCACATCTCATTTTCTGTTTTTATACTTGTAAAGTTGACTCATAATATAGCCTTTCTCTTGCCATGTCAAGGGATGTACCCAAAAAATAAAACTTAAACCAGAAATGGCAGATACTAAGGATTGTAATTTATGACTGTCCTTCGTTTTCCAGTGAATGAAAGAGAATGTTTTTGATATTGCTTAGGATATCCTTTTTTCCTCAATATCATACATATGAATAATCAAGGAACTCGGAGATTAATTTTGTGTAGTCTGATTTAATCATTTCACAACACAGAAATCAAATGGGGCAACTCAATTTTGGTTGTATTTAGTAAAGGAAGCCTGGCCTTTGTTGTTCTTTTTCTGTGTATATGTACAGTATGTGATACCTTGGTCTGCTGCAAGCGGTCTCAGGACTCAGCGCAGACTTCGTCGAAACAAATCTGTAAAGACTGTTTACATGATTAATTAAAATCCTTCTGGACAGGGAATAAAGATCCGAGCCATGCATCCGTTTAATGAAAAGAAAAAGACAGGTGAGACAGTCCATTCCACAATCCCCGCTTTAAGATCTGAAGGTAAAGATCTATCACACATCTCTTGGCATAGGTACAAAAGAGAGGCTGTCATGAGATGAGAGGAGAGGCTGTCTTTCCTGAAAGTACAATTTCAAAGTGTCAAGAGTCATTATTTGGAATGTCTGGAGCAGTAAAAAGCAAAATCTAGAATCATTCAAACTAAGGCAGTCAAAATGCTCCTGATCTTGCACAAGAAGAGGTTGTAACAGCTAAGTCAGGAAGGATTAACGCGAGCTGCATCTTCCCAGAATTAAATCATAGAAAATGTAGCAGATATTTAACTTCAAACAAGCACAGTATGTCTGACAAGTTTAGAAGATCTCTCTAGACAAAGGTTTTGAACCTTGAACACTTTTCAGAGATAAAAAAAAACACTTTTTGGCTCTGATATCAGCTTGTTTTTTTTTAAAGCATAAGGAAAAAAAGAGTAAAAAAATTCAGATTGGCTAGAATACTCTCCAAATGTAGTTTCTGCTTTTACAGTTTTATTAAGAGTACTGTACAAAAGAGGAGAATGAAAACGACAGAGCTACTGTAGAGCAGATATTCTTGTACATTTGTCCTGTCTGTTGACAAGAAATTCAGTTTGCTCTCTTTTAAGCAACTATGAAGCTTTATCACCGCATCTCATCTCACAGTTAAGACGTGAATTGCAGAATGAGTGAATGTGTCAGTGTTGTTAATACGAAAGAGAGGATCGAAATAGTATTATTACTGACCCATTGCAATGCTAACCATTTTTAAACTGCCTTATTATATCTGCACAAATCAGTATATTAAAATGGTATTTGATTGCTTTCTCAGCACACGACCCGCAACACTGCTAGCTAAAAGGACAAATGAGTTGAAGTGAGCCAAATGAAGGATTTTCACAATACAGTACATCTATTCTTACAGATTTCTCTTTATGCCTCGTAATCCCAGACCACTTTTACAAGATATCAAGGCATATACACAAACAATTCCCCTTACAGCTGGTTGCAAAACATTTTCAGTTTGCTTTTAAAATAACCTATTGTCTCAGACTTTCTGATATAGTTTGGACAGATCCCAAAGCATGACAGCTAAAGCCCAGATGCCGACTTCAAACAGTGCCTGAATACCACTAGGAGATCCACATCACCTGATCTGAGTGAACAATCTGGTCCATACTGTCCCTGTACGTCTGGGGAAACTCTTAAATATAGGCAAGTCAGGGAAACAGTCTTCAGGGTTATATTCTGTATATAATATATGTGTGTGATGCATATGTCATTCGCCCACCTATTGCATATTTGATAAAACATCTAAAATTTCATCACGCTGTTATATGCAGCAGCCCAGGGTTTGAACCTCATCCTCCTGGCTGAGAAACTCAGCACCAGACACTGTCTGTAGACATGTTTCCTCCCTGCTTATTTTATATCTCCTTTGAATCACCTTTGTTTCCAGCTTATTTAATTTCTCCACATATGACAATCACAAGACCTCAAGAGTCCAAGAATCACGTTGCTGTCCTTTGACCTCCTTCTAAGGCTAATGTTTTGTAGTATAGTGACCAAAACTGAATGTCAATGTGTGTAGAGCTTAACCAGATTTTGACAGTTCATAAAAAAACACAGAGGTTTTCAGTGACCTCAAAATGAAAACAGAACCTGTCAAATATTTAATCTGTAACATGTTCAAAGCGATTGAAGTTCACTGACATTCTATATGGCTATAAATTTCCTTAAATGGATATTTTTCCGGCACTGAGAAAAATGTTGGTAAGCAGTAGTGCAAATAGTCTGTGCTTCTCAAGTTTACTTTGGCTTTGCTGGGTTTCTGCAAGCTGAGCTTCTCCTGGTTCTGCCACACTTGGCTGTTCGCTGTTTCAGAGTCACTGAGTCTTCATTTATTTACTCAGCACTGTTGTCTGTTGTTGGAACAGATGTTAAAAGATCTCTCTTTAACGAAAACTCCTCCGCAGCATCTACTTACGACCCACACAAAAGAATAACAGATGTTATAATTGTCTTCACTCTTTGATTAAATTGTTTCTGCTTGGGTTGTTTGCTGCGGCTATATTGCCTGCTGAATAGGGGGTTGACGTGTGCCTTTTAATTGTGGGGTGCTGTTAGTTTTATGTATAGATAATTGGGTTTATTATAAATCACCTCGCAGGCAGCTAGTGTGCAGCAGTTAACAATAGCAAAAGAGAAAATGGGGAAGAGAGAAACCAAACATGATGCTAATGTTTTGACAGATGTAAGGATAATAGTTCTGTGGAGAGGGGAGCAGACAAGGTTATTCAAAATCAAATTGATATGGACCGTGCATGACAGATATCCAGTCTCACTTGCTTAAAGTTTCTTGCAGAAATACACAAATTCTCTCAGATCGCTGCTTTGTCTTTTAATGTATTAAACAACATACAAAGACATGGCTGTGTCCTTCTTCTGAAAAATAGTTTTCACTGCTTTTCAAAAATAGTTTGCAGCCTCACTAGAAGTGATAT